ATAAATAAAAATTAAAAACAAAATAAAAAACAACAAAATTTAACACAAAAGACCCAGAATATCCCAAATGATCATTAGCAAAAACAGCAAAGCTGAAGATATCATAATAACTGATTCAAAAAATACTACAAAGCTACATAGTAACAGAAATAGTATGGTATTGGGATAAAATACACTTAAAGCAATAGAATAGAATACCTAAAAACAAACTCACATAGCTATGACATCTTCACAAAGGGCCAAAACACACATCAGACAAAAGAATGGCTTTTCAATAAATGGCACCAGGAAAACTGAATGCCCATGCGTAAAAGATTGAAAGTAGATTCCTATCTTTCAGCTGTACAAAAATCAATTCAGTATGGATCAGAAATCAAATATAATACCCAAAACTTTGAAACTGCAAGAAGAAAATATAGGATAGGTAAAACACTTCAAGATACGCACAATTTCCTGAAAAGGACTTTAACAGAGTAAAAACTTGCAATAAATGACAAATCAGATTGCATCAAATTATTAAGCTTTTTCACAGCAAAATAAACAAACATTAAAGAGACAACGTATAGAGTAGGAGAAAATATGTATCAGTTATTCTCCCAACAGAGGATTAATAATATCCAGGTTCTATGAAGAACTCAGAAACTTAACATAGGGTTGAGCAGATAGCTTGGTAGTATAACCGCCTGCCTGGCAAGTGCAAAAACCTGAATTCAAGCCCCAAGACCACATGCTGTGCTGGCTCGTGGTGGTGCGTGCCTGTAACCCCAGCACTAGGGAGGCTGAAGCAGGAGGATTACTATGAGTCTGAAATGCACAGTGATACCCTATATCAAATAAATAATTTTTTAATAAATTTATTATTTTTTGGGGCTGGTGGATATACAGATGAATGTCCATTTTGTATCTGTGTATTCAAAGTGGTTAGGATAGATATATAGTTACATTCTCTTAATGAGTAGAATGATTTGTTCTAATGGTGTTTGTAAATAGGATCTGAAGTCCGCATCTTGTACATGAATTAACCACTAAGAAGAATGTATGCAGTGTGTTAATTATTGAAATTGTCCTAGCAATTCGATTTGAAACTGTCTCATTGCTTTTTGTTTATCAATAAAATTATGAAGAAAAGTGATACTTGGAATTGATCCAAATCAACAGGTATGCGGTGGCATGACACAGTAGAGGGACTATGGACGTGAACCAGTGCAGTTGAAGAGTCAGCGACCATGTCACACCCAAAAATACTGGAACTCAGAACAGCAACTCCCAAGGTAGCACATCAGCACCCACAGCAGGGTGGCTTGGTGGAAAGGGAATCTCCCTTTCTACAGACTGTAAGAATGCAGGCTCTACTCTTGGACAAATGTGCAATCTGAGGGAAGAGCGATCTGAGCTCTGTGTAGTGAGCTCTTATAGGCAAAGACATAATAGAAGAATCTAACAGGACACATCTAAGCCAATATCAAAGGAATCTGGGAAAACATTGAAAGCCTACCTGTTTGATCCCCAGCTCCACCTGCCTTACCAGACTCGCCCTTAAGGCAGTCTGAGCAAGTCGAAAACAAAAACAAAAACAAACAAACAAAAAGAAACAATAAAGCTTCTGAACTATTTATAGATAGTGAAATGCTGTCTTTTTAAAAAGAAAAACAAAAAGAAACCAAAAAAAAACTTTTCTTCTAAAATCAGGAATGAGATCACCTACTATCTCTACTTGTTCAGTATGTGCTTAATAATGAGAGTAGTTAGGCAAGAAAAAGACAGAAGGGACACAAATAAGAAAGAAGTCAAAATCTCTCTTTGAAGACAAGATGATCCTGTTCTTAGATGACCCTAAAAATTCCACCAGAAGGCTTGTAGATTTGAGAAACAAATGCAGCAAAAAGGCAGACTATCAACACAAAATAGCTTTTCAATACACCAATAATGAATCCACTAAATAAGAAATCATGTAACCAGTTCCATTCACCGTAACTTAAAAAATAATACATCGAATCTAGAAGTCTTCTACAACGAAAACTACAGGACACGAAAGAAAGAAATCAGAGGACACCAGAAAATAGAAGTACTTCCTGTGTTCAGGATCAACAGAATACCATTAAAATGGTTATATTACCAAAAATGACCCATATATTTAAAGTAATCCTCATCAAAATACCAAGGGCCAGGGAGATAGCTCAGCAGAATAATCGCCTGCCTGGCAAGTGCAAGGTCCTGAGTTCAATTCCCGGTACCACCAAAAAAAAAAAAAAAAAGTAGCCAAGGTGGTTGA